AAGGAAGGAGGCCGGGTGCAGTGGCTCACGCCTGTAATCCCAGCACTTTGGGAGGCTGAGGCAGGTGGATCACAAGGTCAGGAGTTCAAGACCAGCCTGCCCAACATGGTGAAACCCTGTCTCTACCAAAAATACAAAAAATTAGCCAGGCATGGTGGCACACGCCTGTAGTCTCAGCTACTCAGAAGGCTGAGGCAGAAGACTCGCTTGAACCCAGGAGGTGGAGGTTGCAGTGAGCCAAGATCGAGCCACTGCACTCCAGCCTGGGCAACAGAGCGAGACTTCGTCTCCAAAAAAAAAATTGCTTCTCAGAAGAGAGGATTAAAGATAAAACAATTTTAACTGGTTGGAGTTGTTAGTAAAGCAATGAAATATTCTAAATTCTTCTCACTGAGGGAGACAGGGACATGTATGATGCAAAAATAAGATTATCCAGACAGTATTAGTTGGTCTTCATTTGCATATTGTGACTTTGAGGAGCACGGTTAGATTGTGATGTGGATGAATATTGCGTTAGCTGGCATTCACTGGTTGTACACTGACTGTCGGGGGCAATGCTTCCTACATGTTCAGGACAGCAAAGGAAAGTCGGTCCTGAAAAGCCTTTGCAACCGATAGTCAAAAATTAGGCATGCTCTCACGAGATCATCGAGTGGTGACAGCTTTTAGTTGCAGGTCAAGAAGTCGTGACGCCTAGACCTTCAGTGCCATCCATCGCAGGCCATGAAGAGCTGAGAGGGTGGCACCCCTGCGCGCGTTCTTACACCCCTGCTTCCTCTTTTCCCAGGAGACTGTCTCCTGGACGCCCCTGCCGCGGCCCTGCCCCTCCCCACAGGCCTCCCGGGCCGCATGGCCCTGTACCAGCTGGACCAGCAGTGCAGGCAGATCTTTGGGCCGGATTTCCACCACTGCCCCAACACTTCTGCTCAGGACGTCTGCGCCCAGCTTTGGTGCCACACTGATGGGGCCGAGCCCCTGTGCCACACAAAGAATGGCAGCCTGCCCTGGGCTGACGGCACGCCGTGCGGGCCTGGGCACCTCTGCTCAGAAGGCAGCTGTCTACCTGAGGAGGAAGTGGAGAGGCCCAAGGTGAGGGACAGCCCCTGAGGATAGTGGGAAGGAGAAAGGAGAAACAAAAGGAAATGGGGAGGACTGAGGGCTGTTCTCAAGGGGGAACCACACTTGAGAGTCACAAACCGAGAGACAGCCAGGCAGAGCGGCTCACACCAGAATCCCAGCACTTTGGGAAGTTGAGGCAGAAGGATCACTTGAACCGAGACCAGCCTGGGCAACATAGTGAGATCCTGTCTCTACAAAAAAATAAAAAATAAGCCGGGCCTGGTGACTCACACTTGTAGTCCCAGCTACTCGGGAGGCTGAGGCAGGGGATCACTTGATCTCAGGAGTTTGAGGCTGCAGTGAGCCATGATCATGCCACTGCACTCTAGCCTGGGTGGCAGAGGGAGACCCTGTCTCCAAAAAAAAAAAAAGAAAGAAAACAAACTTTGGGCCAGGCTGCAACACAGAACTTCTAGGTAAAATCACTCATCTTTTAACAAACAAACCAAAGTATATTTATCCTCACAGTGAGGAGCCCGTGGCGGCTCACCCTCACTCAGTGGGTTGACGCTGCCATGGCTCCAGACATTAGGGAGCTGCTTTGGGACTGACTCAGGGCTGGTGCAGGTGCAGATTGGTGAGAGGTGTGGAGACAGGCAGGTGAGCACACAACAGACTGGAGCCACTGTCAATTCCATCATGAACACAGAGAGACACGTGGAATAAATTCCATCAAGAATTGAGTGAAAAGTATTCATAGCCTGCCCGTGCTTGAACTGAATGCATAAGTAGAGGTTGGGAGAACGAGAGCAGTTGTGGGAATTCCGTACTCAAAGAGGAGGAGAGGAGAGAGAATCAGAGCTGCCTCTGGCCAGGCAGAAAAAAAACTTGGCCCAGGAGAGAGTAAACTCACAAGAAAAACCAAGGCAGTGCCAGTGAGGGTTTTTAAATGATTCACTTCTTTGCCCTGCTCTTAATACATCCAAACCGTGAGGCTGATCACATTTCTCTTACGGTGAGTCATGGAGCCATCACTATGAAACAGCATCCACTGGGTTTCACAGCCCGGTCCCCGCCAGCGCTGAATTGCCAGGGTAGCCCAAGCACTCCTCAGTACATGTCTTTTCCACTGAGCCTTCTGAGCCTTCTGAGCCTGCCTGCACCAGGTAAGCTCCATACTCTTGTCCTAAGCCTCAGCTGGCACAGGATTCATGGATTGATCCTCAGCCACGTCCCATTCACCCTGTTCATTCTCATCACATGTTATTGAGGAGAGGGATCTGCCACCGATCCCCAGAGGCAGAGCCGAACTAAGTACAGGGAGAGGTTGACGTGAAATGATCATGGAATGATGTGTGGCCTCTTTTTAAGAACAGTCAGATCAGAAAATACATATTTATAGAATCAGGCCAGGCACAGTGGCTCATGCCTGTAATCCCAGCACTTTGGGAGGCTGAGATGGGTCGATCACCTGAGGTCAGGAGTCCGAGACCAGCCTCACCAACATGGTGAAACCCTGTCTCTACTAAAAGTACAAAAATTAGCCAGGTGTGGTGGCGGGCGCCTGTAATCCCAGCTACTCAGAAGGCTGAGGCAGGAGAATCACTTGAACCCGGGAGACAGCAGTTGCAGTGAGCCGAGATCACACCACTGCACTCTGGCCTGGGCGACAGAGCAAGACTGTCAAGAAAGAAAGAAAGTGAGAAAGAAAGAGAGAAAGAAAGAATATTTATAGAATCATATCTTTTGTAAAATAAAAGCATCGCATCTTTATGAGGATATATTCAGAGCAAAAGTAAGAAAAATATTGGTGAAAATCATGTTAATGATTTAATCTGGGTAGTGGTGTTTTAAAGAAGTGTTGATTTCTTTTTTACAATTTTCTGCATTTTTTTATTTGTCATATGAGCAACTATTACTTTTGTAATTTTTAAAAAATTATTTTCATTCGGAATGCACTATGAACCTTTGGGCATACAGCATTCAAAAGGGCAAAGCTTTGTTCTCATAGGTCAGTTATAAAATGGGAAGCAGGGCTGGGCATGGTGGCTCACACCTGTAATCCCAGTACTTTGGGAGGCAGAGGCGGGTGGATCACTTGAAGTCAGGAGTTCCAGACCAGCATGGCCAACATGGTGAAATCCCGTCTCTACTAAAAATACAAAAATTACCCAGGCATGGTGGTGTGTGCCTGTAATCCCAGCTATTCAAGAGGCCGAGGCACAAGAATCGCTTGAACCCAGGAGGCAGAGGTTGCACTGAGCCGAATTCACGCCATTGCACTCCAGCCTGGGCAACAGAGCAAAACTCTGTCTCAAAAAACCAAACGAAAAAAAGCAATTCTGTTTCTTTCCCAGGCATTATCCTATCACTGGAACCAGTGGCTGGTAAACTATGGCAACACTCCCAGGGCTGCTTCCTTTAGACCAGAGTTCCTCTACCTTGGCACTAGGGACACTTGGGTCAGGATAATTGTTACTGTGGGGCCTATGCTTTGCTGGATGTTGAGCAGCATCCCTGGCCTCTACCCACTAAATACGGTAACATACACCTTCCCCAGCTGTAGCCACCGGAATATCTCCAGACATTGCCAAATGTCCTCTGGAGGGCAAAATTCTCCCCAGTGGAGAACCATTGCATTAAATGCAACCTTATTCCCATAAAAGAGTGTCATTCGTTCATTCAGCAGACAGTCTACTGAGCACCTTACTGAGCATAAGACACTGTTTTAGACACTGGCGAGTCAGCAGTGAATGAGTCCAGCCTGGTCTCTGTGCTCACAAAGCCATGAAGGCCACACAGTCCTTAAACAAATGATTGAGGCAGTTTACGGTGCTCCATACACCAAGATGAGAATGACTAGATGAGGAAGCCAGGGCTTTGGCCACCCGGTGGCACAGACACTGAAGCCTCCTGGCCTTTGCTCCTCATTCAGTGTGCCATTGTATGTTGCAGCCCGTGGTAGATGGAGGCTGGGCACCGTGGGGACCCTGGGGAGAATGTTCTCGGACCTGTGGAGGAGGAGTACAGTTTTCACACCGTGAGTGCAAGGACCCCGAGCCTCAGAATGGAGGAAGATACTGCCTGGGTCGGAGAGCCAAGTACCAGTCATGCCACACGGAGGAATGCCCCCCTGACGGTAACTGCCACTCAGGGCCGCCCCTGCCAAAGCAGCTACTATCATCGCTGTGACACATCCCCAGAGGATGTGTAAAGTGGGAGTAAAGTGGGTGTCCTGGGATATAGAGTTTTGCCTGTGATCTGCACCTAAATGGGCTCTGCAAGGCTCCAAGCCCAGGGGCAGCTCTCAGGGACCCGGGACAGCTCTCATAGTGTTTAGAGAGCCTGGCAAAGTCAACGAGAGAAATTACCCTCATCTTCCAAGATGTGGAGAGGAGGACATCACTCCCAACCAAACTTATTGGGGAGGAGCCTCTGGAGAGGGGCTGGTGTCTAGGAAACTAATCCTCCTGGAGGCATCAGAACCCTCATCTGTGTGCAGAATGGAAGCATTTTCCAAAGCAAGTGTCAGAGCCAAACCTCCAAGGTCTTTCTAGCCAAAATTCAGCCCAGGGAAGAGGGAGGATTTCTGAATCTGATTCCTGCTCACATTCCATCTTCCCTTGGGGCCATAGCAACTGTTTGACAGAATCTCCCCAGGAAGCAATACTACCTCTCCCTCCCCTTGGCATATTCCTATCCCCAGTACCTGCTGGAAACCACACACATTAACTTAGAGGCAGTAAAGGGGCAGCAGCAAACTCATGAGAGGGAAATCATGACAAGGTTTTTCCCCACCATCCCATCCAACTGCCCAGTGTGCAGCTCCAGGAAGGATTGGCAGGCATGAAAAATCAGGCAGAGCCTTAGGAGAGATTCAACCACGGGAAAAGACGCTGGCACTGGCTTGATGTTTCAGAGGAGAATCTGTAGGCTTCGCAGTTTCACAAGACAAGAAGGATCCACAATGGTTTGAGGCTCTAGAAACTTTGTGCTGGAATTGTGTGAGAGTTTGCCTGGCATATGGGTGAGACGTTGCCGGGAAAGGGGGAGGACGGGAATGAATATAGGGTGCAAGGTAGGCATGGACGAAAAAGGACGTCATGATTTCAGACCCACCAAAGTCTGCCATTACTGTTGAGTATTTTTTAGTACTTTTTGTGTGTCTAGGACTATAAAAATGTAAGAAAATGTAAAAGGCATGGTCTCTGTCCTTAAGGAGCTTGCAATCCAATTAGAGACCCAAATCCCTTTAACACAGCCATTAAGTTTCAATGGATGAGTCACAGACCCTAGATTGGTGAGAGGCTCAGAGAAAGGAAAGGCTGAGTGAGTGGAAGCTTTAAAGGGAGTTAGGACTGAGCAGAGTCTGGAGGACTGAGACGGGGTGAGGTGTGAGGGGACCTGCCAGGATGGGGAAAGGTGTGAGAAGGGCCCTCATTCGCTTAGATGGAATCAAGCAAAGCACACCACTATGTCAAGGCCAGACCACAGAGGTCCTTGAAGGCTGACACAGTATCTGGGGGTTATCTGTGCCACCTGTCCCATCAAGTCACCTGGAAGCTCCTGCAGACACAGCCCAGACCCCCTCAGCTGTACTGACTCAGAGTCTCAGGCGTGGAGTGTGGCATCTGCCTTGGCAAAGTCTCCCCAGGCATTCAGATGCACAGTTTGGGCGGGGAACCTTGGCAGGAAAAACAGCTTTAATTTTAGGATTTGGGGGTGGAAAGCAACCCACGTCTAACTTCAGATGGATTGGTCCGGCAGCGGCGCACGGCAGGATGGAGAGGAGGCAGGCACAGGTCCCCATGAAGCCAGCAGCCCTGGGCTTGCAGTCGTGAGGGTGGGATGCCGTCGTTTGAAATCACAGACTGTCCTGAATATAGTGTAGGTCTCTGTGACCGTTTGGAAATAGCAAATAGAGATGCTCACATGTTCGGGAGATACCGGGATGCCAGTCTCAGACTTCAGCGTGGTAAGACCAGCAACTCAAATGTTCAGGAGATACTAGGATGCCAGTCTCAGACTTGAGCGTGGTGAGACCAGCAAATGAAAGTCAAACAGTTCGTGGAAGGACCCTCGGGAGCTTGGCCGTGCTGAGTTGGAGGTAATCATAGTACATACAAACGGAGCTCCCCAGAGACAGCCAGCATTACAGAATGTGAGTGTAGGGGCAAGATCGGAGCTAAACGTGTAGATTTAGGAGTCTTTGGAGTCATGTCCAGTGTCACTGAGGAAATCGACACTGCACAATTAGCAGTGTCCTGAGAATATAGCTCCACGTGCCATTCTCTGCCTTCCAGGCTTACTGACTTGTTCCCTGTTGCTCCCTGAGTTCATTCATCTGTAAAGTTCAATGAATCTCTTTCCCTAATGGAAAGGGCATTTATCCTAGAAAGCCCAGCATGAGGCTGGAGGGCTCCTTTCCTTGCCCTTTTGAGAAAGGGTCACACATGGGTCTAGGAATGTTGTGCCCAGAAGACACTGGCCCTGCCTGGGTCCCTGGGTTGAGTCCAAAACCAAAAGAATAAAATGCTGTAAATTCGGGATTTCTCCACCGGGACCTCCTGCTTGCGCATGGGTGTCACCTCCATGCCGTTTCTTCCTCTTTCTAGGGAAAAGCTTCAGGGAACAGCAGTGTGAGAAGTATAATGCCTACAATTACACTGACATGGATGGGAATCTCCTGCAGTGGGTCCCCAAGTACGCTGGGGTGTCCCCCCGGGACCGCTGCAAGTTGTTCTGCCGAGCCCGGGGGAGGAGTGAGTTCAAAGTGTTCGAGGCCAAGGTGAGAATCACCCTGGGACTCAGATCCAGAGATGGGGAGGAAGGTCGCCTGTCCCCACCCCTCCCACAGGCTGCTTCTGTGCTCAACATGCCCTCCCGCACCTTCCCTTTCCCTGTTGCAGGTGATTGATGGCACCCTGTGTGGGCCGGAGACACTGGCCATCTGTGTCCGTGGCCAGTGTGTCAAGGCCGGCTGTGACCATGTGGTGGACTCGCCTCGGAAGCTGGACAAATGCGGGGTGTGTGGGGGCAAAGGCAACTCCTGCAGGAAGGTTTCCGGGTCCCTCACCCCCACCAGGTGAGTCTCCCCAGGAGTTCTGTACCTTGCTTGGTAGAAGAGCATAATGGGCTTTGCGCTCTGATAGGCCCAAATTTGAATTGTGGCTGCTACTTAATAGCTATGAGGGTTGGGCAAGTTATTCAAACTCTCCGAGCTTCAGTTTCTTTATAAAATGTCAGCAGTATCTCTAGCTCAGAGTCATCGTAAGGATTTCCTGAGATGGGATGTGCACTTGGCAGTGTCAAGCTCAGTGTCAAGAAAAGACAGAACACAGGACAGCCGTGACTTTTACGAGGGCTGGAGGCCATGTGGATAGGGAGCTGTCAGCTCTGAGTCAGTCGAGCCACACTGAGTAACCTGGACCTCTGCCAGAAAACGGCTCTCCCAGGCCTGTTTTGGGAAGGACGTCTCACCCTAAGCCTGGCAAGCCCTGCCCTTTCTGCAGACGGATCTCCAGAGAAGGGGGTTACCAAAAAGGGGCCCTGGCAGCCCCAGGGCTTTCATGAATCTGAGAACTCCAGACACTTTGTTTACATCCTAATGCCCCACATTCATAAAACTCCAAGGATTTTCCAAAGCGCTTTCATTTCTATGGTCTCGTTTGATTTGTAAAATAAGTCCATGAGGTGAGCAAGGCCAATACTATTCTTCATTTTGCAGAGGAAGAAATTAAGACACAAAAAGATTAAATGACTTTTTAAGGTCACATTGATAGTTAATGACAGCCAGAAGAGAACGTAGTTTTCCTAAGTCCTGGATGACTTTTGTCTCCCATTCCATGCACTTCCTGGAGAGTAAGGGCAAGGTCAGGTGTTTTCTATGGGCCACACTCTGCCTCTCTGCCTCCAGTACATCAATGTATCCTTCTAGGGGATACCTGAGCATCCATCTGTCCAACCACTTCCCCCACTCACGGTCTCAGAGTTTTTGAGACGTGTTCACTGTATTGTATTCTGCTTAGTGAAGCTCGCAAACCCTGTCCCATTCTGTCTGTGTGTGTGTGTGTGTGTGTGTCTGTGTGTGTATCTATCGCTACATCTCTCATCTCATCAGTCTGAGAGAACAGAATCAGCCTATAGCAGGCAACTTGGGACTGTTTTCATTTTTTTAAATTTATTTTTATTTTTTTGAGACAGAGTCTCACTCTGTTGCCCAGGCTGGAGTGCAGTGGCACGATCTTGGCTCACCTGCAACCTCTGCTTCCCAGGTTCAAGCAATTCTCCTGCCTCAGCTTCCCAAGTATCTGGAATTACAGGCGTGCACCACCACGCCCAGCTAATTTTTGTATTTTTAGTAGAGACGGGCTTTCATCATGTTGGCCAGGCTGGTCTTGAACTCCTGGCCTCAAGTGATTCACCCGCCTTGGCCTCCCAAAGTGCTGTGATTATGGGTATGAGCCACTGCGCCCTGCCCTGGAACTCTTCTTACATTTAAGCTGAAAGGACGTAGGAAAAAAGCAGCAGACGCTATTCAGATACTGGGGCCCTTGGCCACTTTCCCTCAGACTTTAGACAGAGGGCCTGTGGACACTCTCAGAGTCTGAGACTAAGCAGCTAGCCCCACTGGACATATGGCAAGGAGAGCAAAGAGCCCGCCTGACCGTTTGCCTCACTTTCTCCCCAGCCTGTGGAACCCAGATTTCCAGAAAAGAACAAACAACTAATCTTTCTTCATCCTACCTAAAGCCCTAAGCCTATAACGGACTGGAAACAGTTTCCCAAAACAACATTCTGTCATTCCAGAAGCACAGAGCTCATGGTGCCTGGACACTCCTAGAAGGTGGTTTCAAAGAAGCAGGCTTGAACCCCTAACTCCCAACCCCACCCTGATCCCACCCTAGGGCCATATACATCAAATACTAGGAGCCGACTGACTCAAAGAGGTGGTGTGAAATGTCCTCCTGTTCACGTTCTGGAAGGGGTGTGCAGAACAGTTTTTTCCATGTGGGTTTGAGCTCTGGGTATGGAGGTGGCCAAGCAAAGTTGTATACCAGTGCAAGGAACTAGAGATATTCGAGATCTCATTTGACAGGTGCCAGGTTCGGCTACACCAGTGCAGCTTTCCAAATCCTTCCGGGTTCTCCTCCTCTCTATGCTGTTCTCAAGACCCACATACCTCAACTCCCCAACCACGCATTTGAAATAGAGTTGCCAGATGAAGCAAAAACCCTTGAAAACTCCCAATGTACAAGACATTACTGTCTGCCTAAACAGCTAATTTATTGAGAACGTTGAGGCAACTTGCTTCATTACTTGCTTTGGTTTTTCTTGTCTGCCACCTGGGGTGCCCACTTCAGTCTCCAAGGCATCATCGCGACCAGGGCTGGGCAGCCACTGGTCTGAGGGTGTCTTTCTGTTTCTATCATAGTTATGGCTACAATGACATTGTCACCATCCCAGCTGGTGCCACTAATATTGACGTGAAGCAGCGGAGCCACCCAGGTGTGCAGAACGATGGGAACTACCTGGCGCTGAAGACAGCTGACGGGCAGTACCTGCTCAACGGCAACCTGGCCATCTCTGCCATAGAGCAGGACATCTTGGTGAAGGGGACCATCCTGAAGTACAGCGGCTCCATCGCCACCCTGGAGCGCCTGCAGAGCTTCCGGCCCTTGCCAGAGCCTCTGACAGTGCAGCTCCTGACAGTCCCTGGCGAGGTCTTCCCCCCGAAAGTCAAATACACCTTCTTTGTTCCTAATGACGTGGACTTCAGCATGCAGAGCAGCAAAGAGAGAGCAACCACCAACATCATCCAGCCACTGCTCCACGTACAGTGGGTGCTGGGGGACTGGTCTGAGTGCTCCAGCACCTGCGGGCCCGGCTGGCAGCGGCGAACTGTAGAGTGCAGGGACCCCTCCGGCCAGGCCTCTGCCACCTGCAGCAAGGCTCTGAAACCTGAGGATGCCAAGCCCTGTGAAAGCCAGCTGTGCCCCCTGTGATTCGGGGGGAAAGGGTCAGTCTCATGCTCCTGGACGTGGGGTACTGAGGTGCAGACAAGGGTCTCCACTGTGGTGACTCTATATATCAAGGCAGCATGGCCCACCCAGGCCTCCCATTGCCGCAACCCCTCCAGTACTGCACGAATTCCTAAGGGGGAAGAGGAGAGGGGATGGGGTGACAGATCCTATCATCAACTGTCCAGTGGACTGGACCTTGCTCGGGTTCAAGTAGAGGGCATAGGTTAAAAGGTAAAAGTGCACTTATTGACTCAGACAGGACACTCAGCGTCAGTCTGTTTGCAAAGGACTAGCAAAGTTAAATGAAAAAAAAAATTCTATCTGGTTTCCCCGATAAATAATCTACCTCAGAGGGGAAAACATTAGTACAAGAGAGGCGTGGGGCAGGGAGTCAATGGTGAATGTCAAAGCAGGCTCCAAAGCTGCACCCCAAGCTGTCTTCAAGAATGACCACGACTGTCTTCAGTGTTAAAATCCATCACCTAAAGGGCCGCAGCATCACAGGGTTGTGGAGAGCCACATGTTCTCAGGCTGCCACCTGCAGGGGTGGATCCATTTCAAGTATTTATGCAAATGTGTCTCTGAACTAAAGTGTGATCTTATGCCAATGCAGTGGTCTGGTCTGGTTCATTGTTTCTTTGGAAAGGGCAGGGACCTAGAACCCAGGGATGGAGGCTGAAACCAGGTCAGCTCATCTTGAACTCGTGCTGGGCAGCTGGCTCCCTGCCTGCTCTGGGTCCTCACAGGCCTGCAGAATCCAACTCATTCAGGCAACTTTCATTTGCATGATCTAGACCAGTGGTTCTCAAGCTTTCATTAGGATCATCTAGGGGGCTGGTAAAAACAGATTGTGAGGCCGGGCACAGTGGCTCACATCTGTCATCCCAGCACTTTGGGAGGCCAAGGCAGTAGGATTGCTTGAGCCCAGGAGTTCAAGACCAGCCGCAACAACATGGCAAGACCCTGTTTCTACAAAAATTTAAAAATAGAATCAGTTGGACATGGTAGTGTAGGCCTGTAGTCCCAGCTACTCAGGAGGCTGAGGTGGGAGGGTCACTTGAGCCCAGGAGGTTGAGGCTGCAGTGAGCCATTTTTGTGCCACTGCACTCCAGCCTGGATGACAGAGTGAGACCTGGTCGAAAAAAAGAAAGAGAGAGAGAGAGAGAGAGAGAGAGAGAAAGGAAAGAAAGAGAAAGAAAGAAAGAAAGACAGACAGAAAGAAAGAAAGAGAAAGAGAAAGAAAGACAAGACAGATTGTGGGGCCCCATCCCTAGAGTTTCTGATCTCATGGTTGGGATGGCCTGAGAATCTGCATTTCTAACAAGTTCCCAGCGACTGACATGGAGGCTGCTGGTTTGGGAACCGCACTGTGGACGCCTGTGCTAGAGGAAACTTCCAGCTGAGAGATCACAATTGTTATGCGATGCCTTTGGGCTTGTCATTCTTGAGAAAAAATATCCCCTTCCTCTCTGAGCTACCCCATCATCCTCTTACATGCTGCCTGCCCCCTTTTAGTTTAGCTGGGGCACCAGATTCTCTTAGGCTCGCAGGAATTCTAAACCTGCATCTAAGTACCATCGTCCCAATGACCTCAGCACCTGTCCACCCCCACACACACCAAATCTCATCCGCATCTCACAATTCCTTTGGCCGGAGCAACTTACAACTGTCCCTGTGAACCCTTTTATCCACAGTATCATTCCCGCCAAGCATCTGAAATCACCTGAGAGCTGCCGAAAGCCCCTACTGCACTCCATAGCTCATCATCTCTCCCGTGGCTCAGAGGAACTCTGGCTCGGTCTTCCACCTGGTCTGGTGCAGAGGGAACTTACTTAGTCCCTGATCACGAATGGGTGACAAGAAATGGACATCAAGAAATGACATTCTAGCAAAAGAAGGAAAATACCCAAATGTGCATTTTGGTTTTTTTCACCACCTGTGCCCCCTTTGTCCTCCCATTCAGATATCTGGCACCATGGGCAGAGAGGATGCTGTAGCGGCACTAGGCGAGGCCATGGGATTCCAGCCCCACTGTTCCCCTTAGCTGCTCTCTACACGATGACGGCTGACACAGAGTTGGTCACTCCTTCCTGTCTGCCTACTCTTTTCAGCGAGTGGGAGGCTGGGCTCACCTAAGCATAAACAGGCACACACACAGGCATGTTGTTGACGACTAGCAAAACCAGATTGTTTCCCTGCTGTGCACCAGTTTTGTGGAGGCTGATGTATGTTTCCACATCTCTTCATGGCCTTCCATTTCTCGCTCTCCCCCAAATAAGGCCAAGTGTGTCCCCCTAATGGCCTAGGCCAGGCCAGCTGTGCCATCCCTGCTGCCTGCATCATTACCAGGCACAGTTTTTGCCCTGGAGTTCAGCTGGCAGCAGAGCTGCTGATGTACAAAGCAGAATGGAATCCAGCTTGGCTCTCTCGGCTGTGTGGGCTCGGCGAGGCTCTCAGAATGCATACTTGTTTGTGTCTGGAAATTCAACAGCTGCAGCCCAGGGACTCAGAAAACAGATTCGCAGAGGAAGACCACACCATTATCTGCCCCAGCCAACCACGACCACTCCGTTAACCCAGAGAAGGAAAGAGGACCGTATGTCCTCTGCTGAAAGATTGTATTTTCTGGCTAGTGCTCCCTTCTAATGGGAGGCCCTGACTCGGCAGGTAATTTGGTGATTAATCTGAATCCTCCAGGCACCTGCCAGAAATACTTCGAAGGTGGTACAGTAGCATAAAGTTAATTTCCAACCTTTCATTTTTAAGATAAGTGAATCTTTGTCTGGGGTTTATTCTCTGCCCTTTATTCCTCTGTTGCTGACCAGAGGGTTTCGTGAATTTACAAAAGTATACAATGTTACCATTCCCAGCCCACTGTAGCGGACCAGCCCCTCTGCCAGGAACATATTCCAGGGGTGGTGGGACCCATCTCGCTAGATCTACATCTTGTTCTCTGATTATATCCACCGGTTCTATATTCTCTGTGCTTGAACTTTTTAACCAAGTGACCCTCTTCATGAGGACCCTTCCTCTTTTCAGGTGTCCACACATGTCACCCTTCCTGCTTTCCTCTGGAGTGCACTTCGGAGCTGTTTCAAACCACCCCTCCCTCCCCACACCCCCCAAAACACAAAACGACAAATGACAAGAACAATTGGAAAGTTCTTAAGGGATATTGGCTTTTGCTTTGTCTTCATCTTTTCCACTTGTGGTCCAGGGCAGATAAAGAGGGAGGCCTTGTCAGCCCTGCACTGTGGAGTCTGCAGTGGTGAGCAGCTGCGTGTACTGGGCTTTCCCGCATGGTGCAGACTCCCCTGCCCAGGTGCCCCTGGTCCCGGGAGGGGAGGCCCGTGAACCCCGCAGCAATCTCGACTCCGTGTGCTCTGCCCCAGATCACCAGGTCCCTCCAGGAACCTGCAGCATTTCCTTTGCTGTTTGGGAATTCAAAATGGTTTCTCGAAAAGTGTGAACAGGAAGGCAGAATTTACCAAAGAGGACTAGATGTAGCATGACCCTTGGATTCCCAGATTTCTGCTGCCACAGACTCATCACTTCTTTTTGCCCCTATGATGAGTTGAAAATACATTTCGGAATACATGGCCCCAAAAAACAGGAGACAGGGTGAACGTCATGAGGACAGTGATGACGTCTTCTATAAGCCTAGGTAACTGGCCCTGAGACACGTCCTCTGCCCTCCTCCACTCCCACTCTGCCCTGTGCAATATGGGAGGGAATTCCCCGGGGGAAGACAGGCTCGTCCCTGCCCAGAATTTCCCAACCGTAGCTGCACCGTGGGTTAGATACCCAGCTTCCCCAGGCCCCACGTGTGCACCTTCAGTAGGTACTGGAGCAGGAAGCAGAGGAAGGGAAGGATGCGGCCGCATTCAGTCCCGGAGAACAGCAGGCCCGGGTTGCTCCTCTTTGGTGGCCGGGGCTGAAGGACGGTCTGTCTTATGGGGAAAACTCTCCTCCCGCATAGCATGTTTCTCTGGGGGCCTCCGCTGAGCTCACCGTCTTGGGAGAGCTGCATGTGGAATGTGGGAAAGAAGTCAGCCATCTAAGCCGATGTCTTCATTGGCTCAATGTCGGTGATCACTAATGCAACAATACTGTGGTTGTACTGACTGTATGTATGACAACGTTCTCAACAATACAGGATAACAGAACGAGCAACAGTAAAAGCTGGAGTGACCCGCGAACGGAGTGGGTGGGCTGTGACTCCCACACTTTCCCTGCCCCTCGCCAGCCCCTCCTAAGCCCCTGTGTGCTCTCCAGGTCAACACGTCAGAATGACCTGGCCAGACGTAGCCAATAGGTGTGGTCCTAAACAGCTGGTACCACACCTCCCTGGCTCGTTCTTCTTCAGGTAGGGAGCTTCTCTGACCTTCCACTTTGGAAAGAGCAGGCCTTGCTTAAAACTGAGTGCCGGCCAGCCCACATCCCCCGAAATAGATCAAGGGACTCGTCACAGCCACTGCTCAAGTATTGGGAAGAGACATGACACCAGTGCACAAGTGCATTCTGAACCGTAATGACAAGCAGGGAGCGAGAAAGCCACCTGTCTCTTTAGAACATACTTTCCCTGAGGCCTAGGGCTCAGTGGAAAGAGACAGGAAGGTTCCGGCTGTCCTTCCAGCCCCTAGAGCTGCCCAGCCCAGCCTGGCAGATGCGAATCGCCCCAGGAAAGGAGAGAGGAAAGAAGCTTCCCCAGACCTCACCGTTCCTCATTCCAAACATCTTGTAAGTCCCAGGGGCCCTGAAATAGTTTGTCCGTAGCCAAACACAACTTCCTGTTTCTAAGAAAGGGAAGAAAAAAAAAATAGTTGAAAGCGTTTTTGGACACTGGAGATTTCAAGTTTCTGTAAACGAGAATGAATCAGACACATGTGGAATGAATTTCTCCGGAAGTAAGAAAAGATGCTGTGAGTTCGTCTTGCTGGACCAGAAAATAGGAAAAGGGTAGCTAGGAGGGGAGGTGCCTCAGAGGCTGCCAGGAGAGAGGCCGTGTGGACACGGGATGGAAGAGAGGGTCCCACTGGTGACAAGGCTCAACGAGGTTGCCCTGAGGCCACATCCTGAAGCTGCTCATTACTCAGAACTGCTCCACCTCTGAAGTCCTACATCAAATCTCCTCCTCCCCAACCACAACCTCCCATCTGCCCAGATCTTTCTCATAAGTGCATCCTTCCCCATGCCCTGACCACCCCCACACATGTCCTTCCCCCATCCGTCTTTCCTGCTCCTCTGTCTCCAGCTCTTTCCCTGAGTTGCTTGGACTCCACGTTCAGCACCTCCACCTCAATCTTGCCAGTGTTCTCAGTGCCCTTGCCCCACTGACTCTCTGTGCTGCTCAGCAGGCAGAGCCTCACACGGCACCCATTCCCCTCTCCACACCTCTCATGTCATCCTGCTAGCAAGCAGATCCACACCCCAGGGGAATCCCAGCCCTGAGCACACTGGTGCCACCATAAAGTTACAGCGCTTGATGGAAACTGTCCAGGAACCCAAGCAGACTCCCCTCTCAGCTTTACCACTGGTCATCCACAGAACTATTCTGCGCTTCCCATGCTCCTCCAGGTCATCGCCCTGCTACGTTTCACTGTGAGTAAACAAATTCACCTCCACTGCTAAGTGGAGCCCAGTACCGTATCTCTTATCATGGAAGGGAGAGGGGACGCCAGCTCACCGTTTACAGGCCACGTGTAGACACGAATCTAGAGGAATAGTATAACTCTCCCTTATTTTGGATTCAACAGGCATGTTCCAATCTCTGCCAAATCCATAGGGGAATGAAGACACAGAAGATAACTCCTCCCCCTGATTAAATTAATCCTCCAGCTCTCTGAAGGGCACAGCACATCATCAGGTTTAAACACCTAGGTCTAAAAAAAAAAAAAAAAAAATGCCAGGCGCAGTGACTCATGCCTGGAATCTCAGCATTTGGGGAGGCTGAGGCAGGCAAATCACTTAAGGCCAAGAGTTTGAGACCAGCCTGGACAACATGGTGAGACCTCGTTTCTACAAAAAATATAAAAAACTTAGCCAGAGCTGTTCCAGCTACCCAGGAGGCTGAGGTGGGAGGATCACCTGAGGCTGGGGAGGCCGAGGCTGCGGTGAGCCGTGATCCTACCACTGCACTTCAGCCTGGGCGACAGAGCCAGACCCCTTCTCAAAAGTAAATAAATAAATAAATACGCGCCCAGGCTCCCTCGTGACCCGGCTTCTCTACCTCATCTTCCTTGTTGGCCCCTCAGTTTCCACCACTGCTCGGAGTCCTGCGCATGGCCCTGACATGGTCTGTCACTCCCTCAGTTCTTTCTAGCTCCACTGTTAGATGGAGATGGCTCTTCAGATCCCAAAGGTGGGTGAGGGGAAGAGGGAAAGCCCTCACAGGGACAGGACCAAGGACAGCATACCTAAGAGAGCAGGCTTTGCGCAGTGCTAACTGTGGCCTCCTGCTAGCCTGTCTCTGGTGTGTAAGGATGTGAAAACATGTCCCCCTCTCCTCCATCTGGAGCTACATTACCAAAAGCCTAGCCTACAAATGCGCCAGATCTCAGGAAGCAGGACAGGGTGAGGGAAAAAAAAAAACACAAGAAAATGAAATCATCATTTAAAAAACCCTGTTCATTTCTTATCGCCAATCCTGAAATCTTGCTTGTAGCTACAGATGCGCCTTGATTTGTGCAGAGTTACATCCCCGATAAACCCATCGTACGTCGAAAATATCATAAGACTAAAATGTGTTTAATATCCCAATAAATCCATTGTGAAGTCAAAAATGTGTAAGTTGAATCGTCCTAAGCCCAGACGCTCCTCCACTTACAATCAGGTTACACTGGGATAAACCCATCAAACAGTCAAACAATTGATTGTAAGCTGAACCATCATAAATTGAGAACCATCTGTATATCCATCCTTTTAAAAATCTATCCTTTCTCCTTCTGTTTCTGTTACATGATGAGGTATTTCCCCACTGTCAAAACTAATCCCTTCTCAATACTGCAGCCCTCCACCCTCTCAAGGCACTCAGCCCCTCCACAATCCCTCCCTTCCCAAAGACTCAGCCCCTCCCTGTCTGCTGACAGCTCCCCGTCAGTGTTCGCAGGTGCTGCGTCTTCTCACTCCCGCATTTCACAGTCACGTCTCTCCGCTCTCCCCTCGCTCCCTGAGCTCCTGCTCTTCCAAAGCACACCGCTTCTCTCTGCAAACATCACATATACTCTTTCCTCTTCCGGAAATGTTCCTTTTCCTCTTTCTTCTCTCCCCACTTTAACACACTCCTACTTATTCTTCAGGTCACAGATTAAAGGTCATGCCCTCAAAGAAACCCTCAGGTTAGGTTAAGCACCCTCATGTTGCTGTGCACTTAGCTTTTTTTTTTTTTTTTTTGACAGAGTCTGGTTTTGTTGCCTAGGCTGAAATGCAGTGGCACGATCTCAGCTCACTGCAACCTCCGCCTCCTAGGTTGAAGTGATCCTCCTGCCTCAGCCTCCTGAGTAGCTGGGATTACAAGCTCCTAACACCATACCCGGCTAATTTTTGTATTTTTAGTAGAGATGAGATTTCACCATGTTGGCCAGGCTGGTCTCGAACTCCTGACCTCAAGTGATCCTTCCGCCTCGGCCTCCCAAAGTCCTGGGATTATAGGCATGAGCCAGCATGTCCTGCCTGCACTTCACTTTTCAAATACTCAGCACCCTGGGCTCCTTCTATCTTTGCTGCTGGACCATACACTGTGAGTCCCAGGCCACATCTCGTCTTCATTTGCACGACACGTGTCTAGCTGAGAGCCTGCCATAAGGCAGGAAGAGAAAAAAAATGATCATGTTCCCTTTCCCCTTTAAAAAATGTTTCCACTTCCCCATATTTCTCTCTGATACCTCTGTGCACCTTCCACAGTCATACTTGAGAGAACCGCTCCCTTCTTCACGCCCTAACAAGTCAGCTCCCCACACCACTGCCTACGGGTCTGTGTTGCCAAGGTCATCGATGACCTTGTGCTAAGTCCGACAGACCTGCCTCAGTCCTGTGCCTGCATCCCGGCCTCCTCTGCATGCCCTCTCCCTCTACTTATCCCTAAGTTGTTGAGTTCCTCTGGGTTCTGTTCACTCTTCCTGGCTGATCCCATCCACCCCCATGGTTTCCATTTTTTCCCATCTGCTGATTACTCCCAAATTTAAATCCGGAGGCTGTGTGTCAGGGGCCCCATGCCCACCTCATGTTTGGAGGTTCCCTGGAAGGGCTCCTGGGACTCAGCACACAGCTGGGCTCATGGTGAGGCTTTATCCTTTTGCTGTGGTGGGGACACACGGCTGGATCATAAGGGGTCAAGGCACAGACAGGGTCTAGAGGAACCCATGCGAGACTTCCTTATGCTCTTTCCGTCCCACCAGGGTCCCACAGAGCCCACTGTCCCTCCACAAAAATGCAGCAACACACGTGTGACATTTCTGTGCGGGGAAGCCTGGTAGAGACTTAGTGCCCAAAGGTCTTAACTGGGGGCTGGTCACATTGGCACTCTCTGCCTAGCAAAATTCTAGACTCTCAGATGGAAAGTAGGTGTTTGGCATAAATTGTGTTGTCTGCACAGACAGTCTAGCCATGGGGAATCACCTTATCAGTTAACGGTTAACTAGGGATGCTCTGAGAGCCAAGTTCCCAGACACTAGCCAAGGGCCAACCTTGCAGACAGGTGTTTCTATGAACAGCAGTGTCAGGCCTGCTGTGATAACTCCTTTCTGCACAGGCTCAGTATGTTTCCAACTGCCCACCTGACTCAATTTGCTCAAAGTCAAACTCACTCTCTTCCTCCCAGCTGTTACACCTATAACCTATCTTCTTCTTTTTTTTTTTTTTTTTTTTTTTTTTAAGAGACAGAGTCTTTGCTCTGTCACCTAGGCCGAAGCGTGGTGGTGTAATCATACCTCACTGCAACTCCTAGGCTCAAGTGATGCTCCTGCCTCAGCCTTCCAAAGTGCTAGGATTTCAGGCATGAGCCATTGTGCCTGGTCAGGACCTATCTTCTGTTTCCCCCTCTTCTCCACCCCTCCTATCCACTGGCACTCAAATGCAAACTCCTCTCTCCATCTCCATTGCTACTGTTTTCATGGGGGCTCTCCATCCCCTCACCCAGCATGGCTTCAACGGCCCTCTCCCATTTCACTTCACATTCCCTCTAATCCCATCCTCACATTACTCAGTGATCTTTTAAACATGAAATTCCTTGGGACCAGGCGTGGTGGCTCACACCTGTAATCCCAGCACTTTGGGAGGCCGAGGCAGGCAGATTACCTGAGGTCAGGAGTTCGAGACCAGACTGGCCAACATGGTAAAACCCCCTCTCTACTAAAAATACAAAAATTAGCCAGGAATGGTGGCGCATGCCTGTAATCACAGCTACTTGGGAGGCTGAGGCAGGAGAATTGCGTGAGCCAGGGAGGCGGAGGTTGCAGTGAGCTGGAATCATGCCGCTGCACTCTAGCCTGGCTGACAGAGTGAGACTCTGTCTCAAAAAAAAAAAAAAAGAAAAGAAAATTGGATCATTTCACTTCTCCATTGAAAACGCTTTGAAACCCTTTAATGGTTTCCAAATGCACTAAGAATTTTTTTTAAAAATCCAAACCTCTTAACAAGTCCTACAAGTTCCTCTGTGGACTGCCACCTACTAGCTCCCAGTCATTTTACGCCACTCTATCCCTCTGGTGACACTTTCTTTTGTCACTTGCTCACCAAGCCCTTTCTCACTTAGCAGATTCCCACATGCCAGTCCCAAGCCTATGATGCTCTCTCCCCCGCTTCCCCCGGCTTTCCCAACTCATCCTTAGGGTCTCAAGTTGACAGTCTCAGCCTAAGAAAGTCCTCTCCTATCTCCTCCAATCTAAATGAGGTCCCTTTAACTCTCATAATTAACAATTCTGTGTATCTCATGTCGACTGTTCTGTTTGTTTGTTTGTTTGTTTGTTTTGAGATAGAGTTTTGTTCTTGTTGCTCAGGCTAGAGTGCAATGATGCAGCCTTGGGTCACTGCAACCTGTGTCTCCCGGGTTCAAGTGATTCTCCTGCCTCAGCCTCTCGTGTAGCTGGGATTACAGGCACGTGCCAGCACCCCTGGCTAATTTTTGTATTTTTAGTAGGGACAGGGTTTCGCCATGTTGGCCAAGCTGGTCTCAAACTCCTGACCTCAGGTGATGCACCCGCCTCATCCTCCCAGAGTGTTGGGATTACTACTGTTCATTTAATGCTTCCCCCTGCACCCCACTAGACTGCTAGCTCCATGAGGGCAAAGACTCTTTGTTCACTGCTGGATATTTGGAGCCAACCTAGTGTTGGCCATGTGGTAATGCATTGTCTCTGTTAGCTTGGGCTGCTGTAACAAAATGCCACCGACTGCATGGCCTAAACAACAGAAATGTATTTTCACAGTTCTGGGGGCTGAAAGTTTGAGCTTAGGGAGTCTGTATGGCTGAGTTCTGGTGAGCGCTCTCTTCCTGGACTGCAGATGGCCACCTTCTCACTGTGTGCTCACACGGCCTTTCCTCCATGCATGTGTGTGGACAAGAGATAGGGAGCTCTCTGTAGTTTCTTCTTAGAAGGGCACTAATCCCATCCCAAGGGCCCCACCCTCAGGACCTCATTAAACCTAATTATCTCCCAAAGCCCCAGCTGCAAATACTGTCACATTGGGAGTCAGGGCTTCAACATACGAATTTTGGGGAGACACAAATCAGTCCATAGCTAATGATCTCAGTGTTCCAAGAAAAAATGAGTGAATCACTGACAGAGAAGTGTTTCTAAAATGTATGTCTAATCTTGTCACTTCTTTCCTCAAGGGTTTTCAATAATTCCCCTGCCTATAGAAGAAGTTCTAAAGTCCTCAGCTCAGCATCTGGGCCTGTGATAACCCAGCCCCGGGATACCCTGGGGTTACTCAGCAATGCCCCTGGAAAGTATGGTTTTCTCTTTCAGGAGCGTGCCCAGAGTTCACACCTGTTCAATAGCCCCTGCCTCCCAGGGGTCTGCTCTGCTGTCTGCAGCACTGGCACCGCTGAACCTCATCCACAGCTCCCTCGAAGCATGCTCTCTGCAGCCTGAGTAGTACATCCAAGCATCAGAGTGAACAGATGCAGAAAACTGCCAGAAACATGTGCTCCCAGAGCTGAGAAGCTGCTGAAAAGAAACCTCGTTCTGACAAAGGGCAGAGCCACACACACACGGAGCTAGACCTGAGTCTCTAGAGAGAAGAGGCTGCTCTGAGATGAGCCCAGAACCTATCTCTCAGCACTGAGCATCACCAGTTATGAAGCCCCTTGCCCACCCTTGAGAATGTCCCCCATCTGCTGGGCAGAGCAGCACAAGACCTGGTGTGAACCGGCACAGCCTTGGCCTATCTCTGTGAGTGTCCTTCCCAAGTTCTGGGAGTGATTAATGGGTCAGCACGGCCCATAGTGGACTCTGTAAATGTGCATTCCTTTCCCCTCTCCCTGTTGCCCAGCTTGTAAACCTATGCCTTGGCCTCCACATCAAGCATGTGCTTTTGGGTCAGAGGCTTCCAGTCCTGGCCCTCCTCTCCAGCACACTTTCTCCTGCTCCCTGGACAACTGGCATTGCCCTGATTAGGTTGTGCACTATCCCAGTGGCTCGCTGTGGATATACTGGTCCATAATTCCCAATAGCCTCGCTCTGTCTGGTGATGAAAATAAAATCTGGAGGGGAATTTGCTAGAACTTCAGCCTCCCACCATATTGCAAATTGAGAGCTGACTTTGATGCCATATGTGTGCTAAAGGGTCAGCACATATTAGAAGAGCAGGAGGCAGAGAGTTAGATGGACTGATTTTGGGTTTTGTCTTTGCCATTCACCAATTCGGTGACCTTGGGCAAGTCAGTTCCTCTGAGCCTCAGTTTCTTCATCTAGAAGATGTCCTACCAACGTCAAAAATGTGTGCAAAAATCAAGTGAAAGAATGCTATGTGATGGTGGTTTGCAAATTACAACACACTACATGAATGTAGGAAATTCAATACCTTATATCCTTAGGAGATTAGGGGCATCACTTGCTGGAATATCATTTTGCTTACCACCAGATCCCTGGGTTGGAAGAGAGTCTAGGCAGAGAAAGATAAAGAAAAGCATAAAATTACCTAATTTAGTGAACACCAAAATTGGTAGCATAAATTCTGTGTATGCTGGCAAGTTGGAGGGAATTAAGGGGAACAAAAAAGCAGACCTGGATGTGTTTGGCTCAGTGGTGTGGAACTTCAAATCCAGTGCCAGGCTTGGCAGAGATGTGAAGTGTAGACCACACTCCTCTCTCCTCTGAGTCCTGAGCCTTTGGGAAATAAACACAAGATGTGCGGATCAAAATGTCAGCTTTATTTTTTATAATAGCAAAAGATTGGAAACAACCTGATGCCCATCTGTACGGGACTAGTTAGATAAATTACGGAAATTCACTCAACAAAAAAAATACTATGCAGCCATGGCCGGGTGCAGTGGCTCACGCCTGTAATCCCAGCACTTTGGGAGGCCAAGGTGAGTGGATCATCTGAGGTCACGAGTTCAAGACCAGCCAGGCCAACATGGTGAAACCCCAACTCTACTAAAACTACAAAAAAAATTAGCTGGGCATGGTGGCGTGCACCTGTAATCCCAGCTACTGGGAAGGCTGAGGCAGGAGAATCTCTTGATTTTCCTGAACCCGGAGGTGGAGGTTGCAGTGAGCCAAGACTGCGCCATTGCACTTCAACCTGGGCAACAAGAGCAAAACTCCATCTCAAAAAAAGAAAAAAAATACTATGCAGCCATTTTTAAAAGTGCAAAACAGCAAGGTGTTGAACCATAGCTATGGTATGCTACCAATTGTGGAAGAAATATGTGAGTGTAAGTACATATTTGTGTGAATGTGTATAAAACACGCCCAGAAGAAGAGATGCTTAAACACAGGTGCCTCTGCTGAGGAGAACTAGGAAGCTAGGGAAAAACAAAGGGGAGACCATTCACTCTCTGCCTCTTTGCACCTTTTGAATTTTGAACTGTGTGACCATAAGACTGTGTTACTGTGTGCATGCATGTGCCTGTGCATGTGTGCGTGAATCCACTTTACTGAACTCCATAAACATCTTGGACTTAAAACCAGTGGGCTCCCTGCTTCCTGATACTCAGGTATCCACTGGAAGCTCAGACTGTGTGCCCTGCTCGTGGGGAAGTTAAATCCAGACAGCAAGATGAAGGGCCAGAGTAACAGAACGCGTGCTGCCAGCCCCTGCAAAAGAGAACCAAGGGGCCGTGACAGCAGCATCCTTCTCCCACTCCTTACAGTGGAAGAGAGGAACTGGCAGTTTCTCCAACTGGACCTCCTTGCCCTGCTGCGGCAGTGTAAAGAGCAGGAGGATGAGGGCCCTCCAGAACAGTACAGGAAATGTTAGCATCAAGTGGACAAGGGAAAGATGGGGCAGGTGTGGAACAGTGCGGCTGGGGAGGGGGATGCCGAGAAGGAAACTGACAAGAGACTGTGAGGGGGCGCTGATGGATAATGAGAAGGAAGAGAGGTGTCAGGGCCTCGAGGATCATACACTTTCATGACCAGGAAATGGGTGCAACCCAAATATTGTGTTCATTAGTGAGACTGGAGAGTGAAAGGATGCAACCTTTGATCTTGCACAATGAGTGAGGATGCAGACATGATGGGGCCGTGACAGACTTTCACCAGGGCATAATTCAGCCCGATTCTAAGGAGGTCCCTCCCTTTCCTGATCCCTCACTGTCCTCTGCCCATTCCCAGCCCCCACATTTAGCAAAACCACTCTGCTTGGCGTTCCAATGTTCTGTTTTACATTTGGCTTTGTTCAGCAGCAGCCTCTGTTTAGCCAGTTTCTGCTTGGGAGCCAAAGCGCCAAGAAACTACACAAGAAGAGCAGAGCCTGGACAGGATCAGAAAATGCCAGAGATTTTGCCACCAAGCCTGCTCCGCCGAGACTGCCAGGAGAGTTTTGCAAATGGAATCAATCTGAACGTAACTGATGAGAAACATCTGAATGGAGGAAGCCAGGACAAACAGAAATCACTAAGTTTCCCACTGCAGTGGGCTGGAGTGGCTTCCCCAAGGCTTCTACTTGTGTGCATTTACCTTTCTATCACAAAGAGGACTCGTGCTGCTTCTTGGAAACCTATCCAGTTCACAATGACGGACCCTGACCTCACGAACTCCGCTTTCCCTCCAGTCCCCAAGCCCTTCCACGCCCCAGTCTGCAGGTGGTTCTTTGGCTTTGTTGCTGTGGTTGATACATTTTGATAGCAGACGGGTCAGAGGTAGATTCTGGTCACAGTATGGTGTCTCCTTTTCCCCGGAATTTGAAAACGTCAGGAAACCTCACCCACCGCCCAGGTGTCTCCTTACCATCCCCAATTAAAAGCGCAAGATACCTCCCAAATGTAGTCAAGGAATTTGGGGTGTGCTCCTGCAGTTTCCTCAGGGACACATCCCCGAGGCCAAGCAAGTGGTGGCATCATTCATTGTAATATGTCTCAGATGATGTTATAATAATGGAGTGTGCTTGGCTATCTAGAGCTGAGAAGGAAAAGAGTTCAATCCTAAAACCGGGACAGTGGTTATCTAGCACATTTCGAGGGAAAGAACACTCCAATTCTGACTTACACGTGCTTTTGGATCCTAGACCACTTTGTCTTCAGAGTGGAAAATCAGAATACTCTCACGAGATACTAACTTTAGGCCAGGTGCAGTGGCTCATGCACTTTCGGAGGCCGAGGTGGGAGGATGGCTTGAGCCCAGGAATTCGAGACCAGCCTGGGCAACATGGCAAAACCACATCTCTGCAAAAATTCAAAAACTTAGCTAGATGTGGTGGCATGCACCTGTAGGCCCAGCTACTCGAGAGGCTGAGGCAAGAGGATTGCTTGAGCCCAGGAGGTGGAGGCTGCAGTGAGCCGGGATTGTGCCACTGCACAATCCTGGGTGAAGGAGTAAGACCCTGTCTCAAAAATTATCAAAAAGAGAGATATCAACCAATAGATAAATACTGATTCAGCAGTGTCCAGCTTCCTTCCCCTGCCTGCATATCCACCACACAGTCTTCTCAATGTTAACACAGAGCAGCTGGCCAGCTGCAATCACCTGAGCAGACAGTGGCATTCAACACATGGACATGGTGCTTTATCAGCCAGACACTCGACGTTTAGCCGGCACAAATCTGGATAAATGCCAAACCGAGATCTGACATCTGCAAAGCTTTGGCCCAGGTCTGGGACTGAAGGTGACTGATGGTTCTGTGATTGGATAGTTAGGAACCCCTGAGTTTAGGAACACGAGTGACGCGTCCAGAAACAATTAAACCATTGGTCAGGGAGTTGCCCTGCTTCTTGCGTTCTTTGAAGAATAACTTAGCTATGTGTAACTCTAAGCATAAACATTATGCTGACCTTGATCCAGGAATTTAAACAGTGTCATGTAGTGTAAACACTACAAATACCTTCTTGCTGAAATGATCTGTTTTCAGGATGGGTTAGGGTTTCTTCCCTACAAAAGTACTTTGGGGCATTGGATTTTAAATTCACAGTCAGATCCGCATTTTTCTCGAGTTTACATTGCGTGGCCTTCAAGCGTTCTCACCAGCTTCTAAGGTTGAGGGAGCCCTCTACTGATGGCATGGCTGTAATTTCATAGTACATAGCAAGGAAAACTGGGTGAAGTCTAAAGAACTCCTGGATCTGAGAACTGTAACCGGTCTCGAAACCTAGAGCCGACAGAGCTCTGTTTCTAGAGCCTATGAAAAACCAGGCTCTAGAAACATCCTTGATTTCCTCAAACTATCCACATTATTTCAGGTTTTATACTTTCAGGCAATAGAAGAAAAAAAGGTCTGAAAGGAAAGTCGTGTTCTATGCATTGAAAGCTTACATTTTTTTGTGTGCGCATGCACACGCATGCCCTTGTACACATGTGCACGCACACGCACACATACACGTATGCATGTACTTCTGTTTTTACAAATATACATACACCTACACCTACACATACATATACATACTTTGCAATTGCAGCATCATTGCCCACTACAGGAAGGCTTTGCTCTGTGTGTGCGTGTCCTGGAGGAAAGGCATGGGAGGTACATAGTATACATAGAATTCCAGAATCGTGGGACTGGATGGAATATTCACCCTTTGTGGCATGTTCAGAGGACAACTCTGACGAGGCCACAGCTTGAGAAAGGAATTCTCCCCAGCGACTGTGGCCTTGATGCTGGAGGTTAACAGCTTAACACCAGGATATGGTGCCCAATTCTGAACTCAGGAAATTAATGATGATAAGGGTGGGCTGCCTGCCAAGGCCTGTGGTGTGAATCCCAAGAGAAGCACCTTCTATTTTGAGACCTCCTCCGACCACGGTGAGCTGTCCTCTGCTCCGATGTATGCCCCACCTCTCTGTCTATGTGCTGCTTTCTCCAACTCTGTTATTCCTAAACTTTCCTGGGTTTCCAACCCATGGACAGTGAGAGTAACTTATTCCCTCGCCCATTGATTCATCAAAAAGAATAATCATGTGGTATTAGGAATCAAATACCTGACACAGATGTCAATAGGAAGATATCAATGGCGTAACTCTTCCCTTGCCAAGAACATCAAAGGGAAGAGAGGGGAAATGGCAAGCAGAGGATCAAACTAAGACTGGACAAAAGGGGATAAATGCACAATAAGTTTCTTTTCCTTGAGAGGGCTCCCCTGGAAAGGAAAAATAAAAGCACAGTCTTGCACCACATAATATGGCCGACGCTGCCAAATGACCACACACACCAAAGGGGCCACCCCTGGAAAATCAAAAGACCAAACGACGCCACTCCTCTGCTCAAAAACCTTCAGTGACTCCCATTGCCCATAGAAAATCTACAGTCTTAAGAGGGCATTCAAGGTTCTTTGCTTTTCCTGCCACAGTTCCTACCCACCCCAACATGTGTAGCTCACTCTCAGGTTAGGCTGTAGACCGCTGTCACCTCATGGCTTTCCTGCCTTTCTTCTCTGTTTGTCTGGGGCCTACTCCCCATCCTTCAAGAGTTAGCTCAGATGTTACATTCTGTATGAAGTCTTCTCCAGCTCTTCCAGACAGAATTTATGTCTCTCTCTCCTGTGTACGCAGAGGATTTTGTTTATGCCTTCCCCCGCCACCATTATAACACTTATGGACAGCCTGCATAGTTGGGTCTCCTCCACAGTTTATATATTGAGGTCAAGCCCACATCTTACTCAGGTTTGCATCTCTCTTGAGCTCCCACCGCCACCATGTCACTCCATGCCTACCCCGGATCCTTCTCATTCCCC